GTTTTTGTTATATGTAATGTAACAAGATATCTAATGTTAGACAACAATGTCTGTGTTAAATGTAAGATAACAAGATATATAATGTTAGACAACAATGTTTTTGTTATATGTAATGTAACAAGATATCTAATGTTAGACAACAATGTCTGTGTTAAATGTAAGATAACAAGATATATAATGTTACACAACAATGTTTTTGTTATGTGTAATGTAACAAGATATCTAATGTTAGACAACAATGTCTGTGTTATATGTAAGATATAAGATATATAATGCTAGACAACAATGTCTGTGTTGTATCTAATGTGACAAGATACATAATATTTACAAACTTTTTTTTAACACTGTTGTCCAGTAGATAGAGAAAGTAGTCCTGTTAGATTATTGTAGGTGAAATTATTTTTTAGAATCCTTGATCAATACGTGTTCTTGTTACGAAGACTTTCGGTGAGGACTGTTGCTTGGAGGTTAATCACAAATAATGGGATTTATACGTGAATGTGATCTTCAGTTAAATACAGCGCATTTATTTGTTCGTCTGCAGTGTTTTTGTTTTGGAAAACAAACATCTTAATCAGTGATAGTGTGCATATGAAGCTTTGAACTGCACCCGTGGAATGAGTTTTTTAGCTGTGTTGTCCTTTCACAAGGCAATACGACCAATTATTAGTATATAGATATGAAGTGTATGTAACTTACCAAGAACATCTGGCCTGTACTGCATGGAAAGTAAAATGTTATACAATAATGACATGGTGGCATAAATATAAATATTTGTAAATAAGTATCTTACTTATTTATTATTATTATTACCTTTGCAGAAAAGATGATAGAAATATTTTATTAAAAACACAAGTTACAGGTAAGGTTACATTCGCTCATAAAAGGTTTGAGATGTTTTGTGAGGGAAGAAATTACAGTCTCAATGATGAAATAGAACGGCACATTTCATGGCAAACCATGAACGTGTGTTAACAGCCGAGTGTGGTAGTGTATCGTACGTTGGGAATTATATAACAGGTATTGTTGTGAAAACCCGTTTATCTTCACGAAAAGGGTCTCGTGAACTGTATCATGGATAGAAGCTATATTGAATGCCTGTCTGTCAGAGAATCAGAACCGCTAGATAGCGTAAAGCAAAACTATAGATCGTTATGATGGTTAGTAATCTTATAGGTGCCAACTTACTCCTGATTTTATTTGCCAAATTATATAAAATGAATACATATTTTATTTTAAGAAATTTCTTTTGTGTCCTTCTCTCATCGTATATAATCATTGTGGAACCGAACCTTAGATTTGTTTTCGAAATTTGAACACTTAGTAATGTACTCGAAGAAAGTAAACTAATTAATTTTACGCCTGTGAGTTAGTTAATTCCACGCACTTATATTGGAGCTAAAACACGAATAACAAGAACTAATGGGATTACTGTAAAGCAATCTTCGTGTTCAAACATCGCATTTGTAATCGCTTAAAGTAAATAGTTATTTATTAAATATTAGTCACATATCCATGTGTGAAACATCAAGTTAAAATA